TTCGTAGGTGGATTCCTTTCCTTCATATATGATTTTCACATCACAGAAATCTTCGTATTTGTTAGAAACCACGACCTCCACATTGATATGATATTGTCCACTTTGAATATAAGCTCATAACTTTTCTTTTGATTTCTTCAAAAGGTCCCGCACCAATAGAGATAACTTCAATACTTATAAACGCAATCATCATGAGATTTGGGTTTTGAAACTGATGATTAGGTTGTTTGTTGAGAGAGAGGAGACAGAACCTGGGTTTGATGCTCCCTACTAGATCAAGAATTGCCAATTGGCCTGCATATCATTCTCAATCATCACAGCCCTTCACCTTAACCTGTAAAAAGTTGGTGACATTGTCAAATTGTTCACAAAATCGAACTGAAATGCACAGAACGCAATCTTATCTACCTGAGCAGAGCATTCATCAACAAACTTCTGAAACATTCCCACTTTTAATTGCCATTAAATTGCTTAAAATCAGTTTTGTTTCGCATCAAATTCTACTGATTCTAGGGTTCTAGCAGAACGGAAGAAAGCTATTTTAAATCTGAAAGAAACAGAGAGAGAGAGAGGACATACACATGGGCCGGGGAAAAACTAGACGGTAGAAGATTGGTAAAACTGCGAAATCGAGATTCCATTGTAAGTCGTCCATACTGGAATCGATGTTATCGCCGATCCCGACGTAAACGCAGGGGTTCGATTTGCGAAAATTGAAGGAAACCAATTTTCCTCGACCGCAATCCCTAGCTCGATCTCGAACAACTCGCTCCATTTCTCCTCTTCATTCTTGCTTAAGCTTCGATCTAATTGGAAAATCTTCACCGGCGAAGTAGTGCTTCCTCGTCGATCCTTGATCTTCAGAACAAATACCTCCTTCCAGCAACAGAAATTGCTCAGTGGAAGCCAGTACGTTGGAATTCCACTTTTGAAATTTCTCAGTTGTTTTCCTTTTCTGCTGAAAACGATAAGATCCACTACCAAAATCAAAGAAATAAGAACAGCGACTACGGAATCTAGAACAGAAAGGCATGAACAGCGACGAGGAAACTGAAAATTTGCAGTCCAATTTGTATGCGATTTACTGATTACTTGATTTCATTATGCCGTCTACTCTCATCTACCATTAATGCGGGATTTAAGCTTCTAACGTACAAGAATTGAGCATTAAAGCAATTGATCTAATACTGGTTTTGAAGATTGAGTCAAGCCAGCAGCCCGGATTTGACATCATAGCCGAAACCTCTCTTCCGGTAAAGCTGCAATCTGCTTGCATGTTAAAAGGATCACCTATGGGATAGGTACATGTATACATATACGAGTACATATATATGATAGTTCTTTAATTCATATTTAATTAGGCCCATGATTTTAATCTATACACGAATCATATTATATTAGGTGCATTGTTTTTTGATAATGAATAGGATTGGAGAATGTCATGTGTGTACACACACGAATGCTAACATGGGTGGAATATGTAAGAAAACAATTTTAGCATTTTTTAGAGGTGTACATTCAACCCGACAACCGAACAACTCGGACCATCCGAACCTGAACTAAAGGGTTGGGTTTGGTTGGGTTGGATTAGCTTTTCGAGTTGGTTTGGGTTCATTTTTCTGAACCCGAACTGACTCGGTTCAGTTTCGTATTCATAGGCAAAACCCTCGAGTTGACTCAAGCCAAATAAAAATATATAAAATATACTTAAAACTTAACATAGTGATGGGTTTGCTACTTTGTCCTAGTTTAGAACACTCACACTTGAATTCAACCCAATCAAATACATTAATTAATTTATTATTTTTATTTTTAATAACCTATTATATGAATAATTATAGATTGACTTGGATTTGTTGGTAAACTCTTAATTATCTTTTATGTTAGACTGTATTCGAATAATTATAAATTGTGGATAGATTTTTTTTTTTAACAACTCGACAATTCAATCCGAACTCAACCCAAAAATAGAAGATTGAGTTACTAATACAACCGACTCGAACTTTTGAGTTAACCCAACTTGTACCATGTACACCCCAATTATTTTTTTGACGCGTTGGCCAATAATGCACCATTAAAAAGCTGACTTTTCTGCCTTCTCATTTGGAATGCATATCTTAGTTTTATTCTTTACGAATTGTAAACTTTGACGGAGAAACTCTCCCTCTACCCTAGAAGTCGTGATATGGGTCTTATTTCTTTCCCTTTACAAAATAGAGAGGAACAATATTGCTGAAGAAGTTGAGGGGAGAAGAGGTTTGTATCGACTAGATCGAGAGTAAGTTTGGAGCGTTTTTTAAAAAATTCATAGAGGTGAGTCCTAACTTTGTGTAGAGTGAACCAAATGCTCTGAGGATAAATCCTAAACCTTCATGGTCGATATGTCTACATTTTTTTAATGAAAAAACTATCGTAAAATAATGGTTAAAACACTTGAACATGACCTTAATTTAGCACTCAGTGCATCGATTACGTGATTATGCAAGGCCCAGTAGATTAGAGGAAAAAGTGTCACCCTGATCTATCATCTGCCAATCTGCATAGTGTAAGTGCGGTCCCCTACCACTCAAAGCATAATTATCATTTGAGTTCATCTGGTGAAGCACTAGTAGTCTCCACATTGTTGCCATGAAAAGGGGGTGTTTTCCGTGGGTACTACACATGTCATGATAGACCCATAAGCATAATCTAGAGGAATATGAGATATACGATAGTCAGCAAACATAGTTACCAATGAGTCATGCAACCGAGCACATATGAACATGGCTAAGTCCCCAAGTACATAGTCAACCTGCTTATTTTTATTATTTTTATTAATTTAAATAGAGAAAACTTTTATCAGACATAAATTAAATTTGGAGGGGTAAGAAATAAAATAATTATATATAAATATAAAAATAAAGAGAAAGTGGGTTGGAGACACGTGTACCCCAGAAAAGGGGTCTGTGGAGGGTAAGTTGAAGAGTCCAGAAACTACAAAACTAAAATAGAATTTGAAGAAACGAAGCAGCCATTTTGACGTTGAATTCAAATCACCAAAAAGGAAAGGTCTAATTTTGTAAATAAATAACTCATTAAAATGTGGGCCCCTCCTATCCGCTCATATTATTATTATTATTCTTCTTCTTATTATTATTATTTTCTTTTATTTTCTTTTATTTTCCCTCCCTTTGACATGTTTGCCCATCTTGATTCCTTTTAATTATGTAAAATTCATCATATCTCCACCTTTAAAAAAAACTTTTTACTGGTTTTTTTTGACATTTTGTATTAAATTGGAATATCTTATTATATTTTTTTATTTTTACTTTATCTTCACTTTTCTAAAATATATATATTTTTTATTTTTTTATTCACTAATCAATATAAAATATATGTACATAGAATTGGTAGAATATTTGACCTTTTATCGCTAAATTGTATATATGAAAAATTTAAAAATAATGGAATGTTTTACCATTCAAAAACGATAAATACTTTTATTTCTTTAAATTATACCCGGATTGATAACCAATCTAAATATTTACTCATATTTAAAAAGTTCGAACATTTTAAAATTTTAAAATATACCCATAAATTTTAAAAATAATATTAATACTCTTTACCTTTATACAAAAGGTTCATTTTTTTAAAATCATCTATCAGCAGTTTATCGATTATTTCTTAATTTTTTTTTAATGTTACTTTTATAAAAATTTTATATGTATTTTTGGAATGTGGTACTATAGATAAAAGTATTTTTGAACTTTTTTAAGAGTTCAAGGGTATTAAATAAAATATTAATAATTTTCTTCCAAACAAAAAATATATTTTGATTTTTTTTTTTTTTTTAGTTTAAGAGTATTTTTTTTAATTTTTTATTATTTATTTTTTCAATTTGATTGTATTATTAAAATTTTTGAATTTAGGGATATTGGGAGACACAAGTATATTTTTATTAATTTAGAGTATGATATTTTAAAACATTTTATTTTTATTTTGAAATAAAATTTAATTTAATCATTTAGGATAGTTTTATATGGAAAATTTAATATGGGTCCAAATAGGTCATTACTGGAAGTTTAAACAAATGTTTATGTTGGCATATATTGATTTAGATTTTTGTTAATTATTTTTTAAAATAATTAAAGTGATTAACTAAAATGATTATTTATACATAATTCAAACATTAATATAGAATCTTAGAAAATTTGAAAACTAAAATAGAGAATACGGTGTAATGTTGAAATTTTGATAAAAAAATTATTAATGACTTTGACTAAAATTATTCCCTTATTATTTTTTTCTTGATTGGTAATATGAACTAAAATAGAATCTCGAAAATTTATAATGGGAAATTTTTATTTATTGATTGATTTTAACAAATTAAATTTATTATAATTAAACCAAATGTAATAATAATAAAAAAAAATCTTATTTATATATAGAAAAGTCATTTTAAACTATAATTGAGTAACTTAATTATTTTGTAGATTGATAGAACATGTATTTTGAGAAATTAAATGAGATTATAAAAATTGTTTATATGAAAATTTAAAAATACTTTAAAACTTTTTTTATAAAATTTAAAAATATTTTTACCATTAATACCTCATTTTTTAAATATTTATGAATTTTTATCAGTAACATCAACCGTTGGGAAAATAAGTTTTTTTGTCCATGTATTAATGGTAAAAAAAAGTGAATTATTTTTAGAAAATTAATAATAGAAATGAATTTTAAAAAATAACATTAAAAATTTGGAATATAATAAAACTTTTTTTTAATGATATATTATTATTAAAAGTTGAATATAAAAAGTGTGGGTCGAAAAATCTATTAGAGGTATTTTTTAAATTTTTTTTAAGAGTAGAATATTTTGAGAGGAAACCACGTCCTTCTCTCTCCTCTGACTCGCAGAGAGAGAGAGGACATGGCGTTGACCTGCCGCTGTGTAGACGGGTCTGTTTCCCTTCCCTTTCCTCTTCTCAGTCTTTAAATGCAACGACGGTATTTGTCCTCTGTACTTATATCATGTAAGGAGTCGCAACAACACAAATTTCCATTTTCTTTTCCATTTTTTTTTAATTTATTCAAAATTAAATTCCAGTGAAGAACAAACACCCAATTTCTCTGTTCTTTAATTCATATATGCTGGGATAGAGCATTCTGAAGAGGAAGAAGGAAGACGAAATGGAGGTCCGTTCTGAGGAGGCGATCCGCCAGCTTCAAGCTTTGATGGATCACGGTTAGCGCCTAATTTTTCTTTCTTCTTCTCCACTCATTTAACTTTTGTTTTTCTCTCTTTTTTTCAATCGTGTTTTTGTTTAATGCCAGTTGAGGAGCGATTGATGTGCACTTTTCAGGTTCGCATTCTCTTTTTCCCCTGTTTTTTGCTCCGATCTGTGTGTTTTCTGCGAGTTTCCTGTTCTTGAAGTGGATTTCTGCTTCCCCCTCCCCCAATCCCATGAGCTTGAAGAAAGGGAAGGTTTAGTTTCAATCATCCTTTCCTGGAATTTGTTGTTTCGAGAGATTTGTGACTCTGTTTGTAGCTTTTTTCGTGATTCGAACCTAGAATCGTTCAAGTCATTGTGAAAGATTCAAGAAATTGGGGTCTAGGGTTGGGTAAATTGTGGGATGGAACTCAAACTGTTAATCAGCCTGATGAACTTATCCTGTTTTAAATGGATTTAAGATATGAGTTTTCCTTTTCTTCTCAGGATGACTGGTTTGTGTTTATTAAGCTATTTTATCAAGTATAAACAGCTCAGAATGATCTCTATGTATGGTTGTAGAATGTTCATCAAGGCTATCTAGCTGAAACGTTGGAGCGATTTCTGAAGGCGCGAGATTGGAACGTTAGCAAAGCCTACAACATGGTTAGACATGGTTTACTATTATTCTTACAGTTTGAATCCATATTTTGTGTTCATCTTGATGTACTTTTATGATATTGCAGCTGCTAGATTGCTTAAACTGGCGAGTAGACAATGAAATCGACATGATGTTAACAGTAAGTGTTTATCCTGCTTAGCTGTTGAACTTGATCATGGTCCCCCAAGTTCTTGTTGGATTCATCGATTTCTCTGTCTGCAGAAACCCATAATTCCTGTTGACGTTTACAGAGCGGTTCGTGATTCTCAGCTCATAGGACTTTCAGGTTATTCAAGAGAGGTGCATACTAAAGTTCTTCTTGTTCTGAAAACTTACCGAGTTAAGTTAGAGCACGCGATTGAAATATCGAAAACTAGAGAAAATGAATGAAAGCGATCATCCAGGAAACTTGATGTGATCTCCATGAACGTCGAAAGGCTTTATTAGTATCGAAAAAGCTTACAAATGAAAGGAAGTTAGCTTATAAATTAAATCACTAACAAACTCAACTAAAAGTTACAAATAACTACAACACTTTTCGTCCATGCTTGTTCATACTTTTTCGTTTCTATGAGTAATTTTCTGCTCGTTTCCTCTAGGGCCTACCAGTCTTTGCCATTGGTGTTGGACTCAGCACATTCGATAAAGCGTCTGTGAGTATTGTTATGGAATATATGGTTTTGTGCTGACAAACCATCTACTGCATATTAAGAAGTGTCATATTCGGGTTTTTATTCTTCATTTGTTTCTGTTTCAGGTTAACTACTACGTTCAGTCACACATTCAAATTAATGAATATCGGGATCGTGTAATCTTGGTGAGCTATAGAGTTACAAATCTTATCTATGCTCCCGTAGGCATTGCTGCCCTGTATTGACCTTCATACGTTTTTGTAGCCTTCTGCATCGAAAAAGTATGGGCGGCCTATTACAACTTGTGTTAAGGTATTAGATATGACCGGTTTAAAGCTATCATCACTGAGCCAAATTAAGGTAAAAACATGTGAACGTAGTCGGGTTCAAGCTTATTTTTCCTTTGGAACGATGACTCAGAGTTCGGAAAAAACTTTCTTGACTACCTGATTCGATTCTTCGTGGAACTTGTGAATTCTTTGATTTTCAGCTGCTATTTGCACTCCCATTTTGCAGTTATTGACAATCATATCAACCATCGACGACTTGAACTACCCGGAGAAGACAAATACATATTTCATAGTAAACGCCCCTTACATATTTTCATCTTGTTGGAAGGTAAGTCGATATATGGTTGGTCCGTAAAATTTTACTTCCAAGTTTTTAACACAACTCCTCTGAATTAACTTTTAAACAATGGGTGCGATTTGTATCTCTTGTAGGTAGTCAAGCCTCTGTTGCAGGAGAGAACTAGGAAAAAAATACAAGTTTTATCAGGCAGTGGAAGAGATGAACTGCTGAAGGCAAGTTGATTTTGATTATTGCTAATGGAAGTACAAATTTCTCATGTTCGATATAATATAGATTTAATTTCGATGAAAACGAACTGGGTTCGAATTATATACTGCCTGTGTGATTCAATATCTTTGATTCATTATCGTTCAATAACACAAGGAGGTCGAATTTTTTATAGATAATGGACTATTCGTCTCTCCCACATTTCTGCAAAAGAGAAGGCTCGGGATCATCGCGTCATTCATCTGATGGAGATGAAAATTGCTACTCTTTGGATCATCCCTTTCATCAACAACTCTACAACTACATCAAGCAACAAGCGGTGCAGGAATCTTCGAGACCGATCAAACAGGGATCTGTTCATGTAAGTCTACCTGAACCACCTGCAGATGGAGCTGAAATTGTTAAAACCATTGAGTTAGAGTTGCACAAGTAGGGGAATAGATTAGGCAGCCTAAAAATATGAAAACCAAGGTAATAGAGATGACGACTCCGTCTACGGCTTGAAGCAACAGAAACCTAACTCTATGCATTTCAACAAGACGTCGATGGCTGCAGGACCGAAGTTCATTTTGGAAGCCCTGCCTACGACATTAACACGACATAGCTAATGTACTACTACTATTTTGCATTTGGCAATAGGTCCCAAGATAATATATTGTATGTAATTTCACATATAGGCTGACTAAGTAGGATTGTCCTCTAGTCATTGTTCTTTAGTTAGCTCCCTGTTGCGCAGGCCATTTCATGTCTATTGATATAATAAATATGTTCTTCACATCTTGATTTGTGTATCTGATATCCTACGTTAGTCGGGGAGGAAAACGAAACACCCTTTATAAGGGACGTGGAAACCTTTCCATAGGGACGTGGAAACCTTTCCATAGCAGACGCGTTTTAAAGACGCCTTGAGGGGAGAGGACAATATCTACTAGCGATGGGCTTGGGCCGTTACAGTTAACTCTTTTTTAGCTCAAATTTGACTGTTTTCGTGTTGGTAGCATCAAAATATGTTATTGGGCATAGATCGGTGGAGTTTCCAACTTTAGTAGAACATGAGGTTCAGATTTTGTTTGATGGGTTCTGTTTCTTTCTCACCATCCCTTTAGAATCTCAAGAATATATTTGCTTAAATGTGCACCTGCTATGTCTTTCATTTTACAGCCATTGATGCGTGAATATACACAAAGCTTGTGGAAAGATATAAAATAGGGGCAATGCTTAAATCTATGCCAACCATTTTTGATGATGATGGCAAAATGTGACTTGCTTCTATTCCTAGAAGAATCCAACGTTTTCGATCATTCAACGAGATGCTCGGAAATCAGGTTTGGCTTTAGATCCTGAAGCTGCTTTGACCTTTTTTAGAGTTGAAATTCTACTTTTTATAGCACTTTTTTGGTTTTGAAAGCTAGAAATGAATATGTCAAGAAGTAACTTGAGGTGCCATCTTTTGTTCCTCTTGTCGCCAACGCTGGAGTTCGCCTTCTATTACCATTTTTGCCGACTCGGCCATCTCTGCACCCTTTAACGCCATATTTGTTGCTATCTTGATCTCCTCGATCGCTTTTAAGTTAGCCTCTAGCTTTTTCATTGCTTCATTTTGCCTTGCAGTGATTACCTCGACCTCGGCAATGCTGTTTGCCTCTTCCTTTTCTGCCAATATTTTCGATTCTTTCACCCTTCTGCTCAACGATTCGAACTCGTCCACTGTTATTTTGATTTCGGTCGATTTATCGCTATGTTTTGCATCTATACTCTTCATCTCATCCAGAGCTTTCTTCTCTGCTGTTTTTGCTTCTTCAGCCTCTTTCTGTACAATCTGTAGTTTGCTTTCTGCTTCCTGTATGAAGCTTCTGCTATCGTCTGCTATTCGCTTAAGCTCGGCTGCTTCTTGCTTCATCTCTAGAGCTTCTTGCTTTGCCATTTTAGCTTCAGATAGAAGTTGTTGAAGCTTCAAGCTCTGTTGTCTTCTGTCTTCTAACATCTTTTCTTCTCTATCAAGCTTCTTATTCAGCTCCTCTCTCTCCCTCTTCACAGTCTCCACTTCTCGTCTCAACGAACCAACGAAGCTCCGAAGAGAGCTTTCTTGTTCGGAAACTTGTTGCAGAGTCCGAGCAGCTTCGTTAAGCTCCACCGTCAAGGCTCGAACAGTTTTCATTTCAGAAGCATGGATTTTCTTCATCTTCTCTTGCAGAACTTCGATCTCTGCTGTCGTTTCTTTAAGCTTTTCCTCAAGAGAAATGGTCATTTGTGGATTGATTTCATTCTTCAGAATCATCAAATTCCTCGCTGCTTCTTCTTTAGCAGTCTTGTACTCATTGAAATACACTTCTTTCTCTGTCAGAATCTTAACATGGTCTTCTTGTGCCTCGATCGAAACCTGCTTTAGCTGTTCGATTTCTTGTTGCGTTTCAGCAATTTGCTTTGAAAGTTCAACCAACCGATCGCTGTTGAGTTTCGCCGATCGTTGCGCCTCAGCAGCTAGCTGTAAGGCAGCCATCTTCCCCTCCAATGCTGCATCAAAATCCTGGCGGATTTTCGTTAGCTCCTGCTTCGAAGCGTCGAGTTCAGCTACGATGATCGCGTACTCAGTTCTCGCATAATCAAGCTCCTGTTTCCAAGCGCAGCCACTGCTAGTGTCTGGTTGTTTAGTGATCTCGAGCTTCTTGGACTGGAGTTCGACAACTTCAGCAGCGTCCATTGTAGTTTTCATCGACTTGTTGACAGAAGAAAGCTTCATAGTGAGATCTTCCAGCGTTCGTTTGGCGGTTTGGAGCTCGGAAAGCGCTTTAGATTTAGTCGCTTCGGAATTCTGAAGCTGTTGCTTGATCTTGCTAAGCTCCCTCTGAGCCAAAAGAAAGTCTGTTTCATTTTCCAATACATTCTGTTTGGAAGATGATACAAAATTCTATTAGGATCATTCAAATTCATCATTGTTCTTCAACATTCTTCAAATAATCTTATAAAAAAAAAAAAAAAAAAAAACAAGAAAAACCTCAGATGAAAGCTGCTTAGCCCTTCTAATGGTGCGCTTGTCCTTGGAAGAAACTGCAACCTCTCCAAACAAACTAACAGCTGCTTTCACAGATTGAAATGGTGCTCTTGTATCAATCTCCCCAACCTCTGTCTTTGAATTTGAAGACCCTTTTGGTTGTTCTTTGATTCGAATGTTCGCCATCGCCGTTTTCTATCTCTATATAATACTCCTCTTCGAGATCTTTCAACCTGCAAATTTACGAGGGATGAGGATAAGAATACCCAGAACGATGAACCTATGAACCTATGATCTGATAGAGGAAGACAATCTCACCGAGATTTATAGTGATTGAGCCATGTCCGAACCCGAATCCGTTGTTGAAATCTTGGTGTTGTTTAGTTTGAAATATAAGAATTTGAGGAAGGAACATGATTGATTATATATGGTTGGAGAGCTTTCCTCAGGTTCTTAGGTGTAGATAACACCCAATAACAAGAAAAAAACTCATTATAAATAATTAGGCAAACAAGAAAACAAGTTTTAAAGACTTTAGTCAAGAGTGTCCTATTGGGAGGCCAATGCTCCCTACGTTTCTCCTTCTTGTTGGATGTTTAAGAAGCTTAAAATAACTCACAAATTCCTACAAACTCTCCATTACCACAAATTTGTGTATGATTCTAAACCCCTCTTTTACCTGTCCACCCTTAATTAGCCAACTGATTTTGTGGTTCATAATCATTCATAAACATATTTTTGACTCATTTCAAACCATTTTAACTAAAAAAATTAACACTTTAATGCTTAAGTTCTCACTAAAAGAAGGAAAAAAATAAACTATAATCTTGGTAATGAAGTAAAATACATCATCAAAATGTATGTATTCAAATGAGCCATTACAAGAAGCCATTGACTATTGCAAAAGGTAAGAATTGAACTTGAAATTGATGTCATGGTTCACATAAGTTGACTTTTATATAAATGACGAAATCAGCTCAAACAAATCAAGTAAGTGACCTTATTACAGAATAGACTAGAAATTATATGAGTCAAACTCTTAAGGTAAAGAAAGAGTTATCATCGTTCTAATTAGCTCTTGGTTGAAATCAATTCGTTAAGTTAGCTTTATTTCTGAAAGTTTGCAAGGCCAAGAGCAAGGATGGAATTAAAACAACAATTTTTTTTTTGATATTTTTATTGAGCATAGAAGCTTAGCCATATACTCAAATCAAATTCAAAGAGAACCTTTGGGTACGTCTACAAAATCATTAATTAGATGCTAAATTTTGTAACGACTTGCTTCTCTCGAGATTCAAGCCACGAACTATTACATGCCAATATGGAAGGAACATGTTTAAATGCGTAAATAAATTGTAAAAATATGCAATTACAAAATGATCGCGCGAGAGTACATTTATAAAAGACATTGTATGAAAACTTATACAAATCCAAATGTCGGGGAAGAAAAATATGATTAGGATCTACTTGCTTTCTATAGTCGCACGACTCGAACACTCCCGCTATTGATTTGTTAAATTACGTTTCATATGAAAAAGAAACGTAGTATGCACATGAAAAAGAAATGTTTGGGACTAAACTTTAAGATCTAGAGCTCTTAATGAACTTATATAGGGTACTAAACTGTAATTACTCCTCACATGATGTAATGGATTGTTTTTCTACCGCTCGTATATAATTGTGTTGAAATGAAGGATGATAGTTTGTGTATCTGTGCTCTAGGTTCTTGATGAATGTTATCACCTTGTAGAGTATGTGTGACCGTCGGCTTGATTTATTAAACAATAACTTTAGGGATTTGAATATGTGATTTTTCCCGTGGAGTGTAATTAGTTGAGACAGAATAAGAATAGTGTGTGAGGATCAATTTGGATAGACAATAACCTAGGAGAGAACCTCTCAAGTAGTTCAAGCACATTAAAATGTAAGAGACTATTAGAGGGGGTAGCCCTAATGCTCCTGGCTGAACCAGACTCGAGGATTCGAAATTGAGAAAAGCTAGAGATGTCAATTAATGTCAAGACCACCAAACTTGCCTAGGGACCTAAAACGCCACCATGACAACCCTAGTAGACAAAGGTAACCTAGGCTGATGGCAACTGGTACAGTGTCGGCAGAACTTCCACTTTCCTTTTCACTTTAGTACGATATTGTTGAGCTTCGTAAGGCTGGTTAGGGACGTGTGACTTTATAGTTTGTTTAGCCTTTATTTTTGTTTAATTCTAAATAAAATCAAGCAATGCTTCCGCTACATGAGTAACGTCTATTCCCTTTGTGGGTGTTTTAAACTTAAGAGAATCTTGAAGTACCTTCTAGCACAACTCTCCTTCTCCAATCCCTTCGAAATTTTATTTCAAGAAGCTCTCACAAACTTTGGCCTTGTGTTTTAGTCATATCGAGGAAGATTTTATGGAGGAGATTCATCCATTAGAGGAGTGGAGCAAATAGATTAAAGGCCCGCCAAAACTTTCTCTATATTTGTTCAAGGCATGTTTGTTTAACCTTTAATTTTGTTTAATTCTAAGTAAAATCAAAGCTGATTCCAATGCTTCCTCTGCATGAGTAAAACGTTAATTTCTTTTAGTTGGTGTTTTAAATGTAAGAGAATGTTGGAGAATCTTCTAGCACAATAAAAAAAATGAAAAGGGAAATAAAATAATTGAAGATAAGAAAAATTTAGAATCTCAAGAAAAAAAAAGTGAAAATTTTGAACAATTTTATCACTTAATACTAAAGTGATAAGTCTACCACAACCAACTAAAATTTTCTATTGTAATTGTTAGGATTG